CACTCCCCCCCCCCCCCCCAAGCGTCGTCCTGGTCCTGTTGATGATATGAGACAGTAGGGGAGAAATAGGGCGTGGGTGCGGAGTGACCCCTGACAGACCTGTGAAAGCTGCCCAGATCCGAGAGAGGCCGTCAGCGTTGGCGGCACCCGCCCGATGACGCACCACAAAGTGGAAGTCCTGGAGCGCGAGGAACCATCGAGTCACCCTGACATTGGTGTCTTTAGCGCGGGCCATCCACTGAAGGGGTACGTGGTCCGTGACCAGGGTGAACTTCCGGCCAAGGAGGTAGTATCGCAGCTCCAGGACTGCCCACTTGACGGCCAGGGCCTCCTTTTCCACTGTGGCGTAGTTTCTCTCGGACGGGGTCAGCTTCCTACTAATATAAATGACAGGATGCTCCTCACCTTCCTGGATCTGTGACAGGACGGCTCCCAGTCCCGTGTCGGAGGCATCCGTCTGCAGCAGGAAGGGGCAGCTAAAGTCCGGGGCTCTGAGAACTGGCTCCGAGGTGAGGGCCCCCTTCACCCTCTGGAAGGCCTCTTCAGCTGCTGGTGTCCACTGTATCTTCTCTGGCTGCCCCTTCCTGGTCAAGTCTGTCAGGGAGGCGGCTAAAGAGGAGAAGTTGGGGATGAAGCAGCGATAATATCCCGCCAACCCTAAAAATGCTCGTACCTGGGTCTTGGTCTCGGGGCGGAGCGTACCGCCTCCACCTTCTTCTCCTGCGGCCGATTGAGACCCCGTCCAACTTGGAAACCCAGGTACTTTGCCTCGGAGAGTGCAAGGTGGCATTTGCAAGGGTTGACGGTGAGTCCAGCCCTCCGGAGCTCCGAGAGCACCCTCCGTAACCGGTCCAGGGGGTCTTCCCATGCCTCAGAGTGGATCACGACATCGTCCAGATAAGCTGCGGCGTAGGACTTATGGGGCCGCAACAGGATGTCCATCATCCGCTGGAACGTGGCGGGTTCCCCGTGGAGGCCAAAGGAAAGTGTCCGGTACTGCCAGTGGCCACTAGGGGTAGAAAAAGCAGTCTTAGGTTTAGCATTCTCAGAGAGGGGTACCTGCCAGTAGCCTTTGGTGAGGTCCAAAGTTGAGATATACCGGGCCCTTCCCAGCCGGTCCAACAGCTCATCCACCCGAGGCATCGTCCATGTTAGGGGAGGAGTGCTCGCCTGTGACAGAAAACCTGGAGACACACAGGGAGAAAAAAAGGTGAGTTGAAGGAGATCGTTCGTCGGTAATTCTTCACTGATATGCCCGCATTCTCCACCAGTGTCACAGGTTGAAGAATCAAATGACAAGGATGGCTCAATAAATGCCCTGGAGGGTGGATTTATTCACAAGAGGGTGTGCAAAAGAGAAAAGGTCCAGGTGGGTGCTCCGGTGCCGTGAGTGCGCTCCGTCCTACTTCCCAGTGCCGTGGGTCCGTGCTGTGCTCCTGTGGGGCTGGTCAGTCACACGCTGCTGTCTGTGGGAGAAATGAGAGGGCGAGTTAATGCTCAGTCTCATGAAGAAGTGTCTCAAAGGTGGCAGGGCTTGCGTGGCTTATGTAGCCGCCGCCTGATGTGCTGCAGCTGTGACCGATCAGCCTGTGACGAGGACGGGCAGGTGTTCCTCGCTTGTTTCCAGGGCGACGCTGATGAAGCTTCAGGACGCTCGTCACAATATATATATATATATATATATATATTAGGGCTGTCAATAGATAAAGATTTTTTATCCAATTAATCACACCCTTTTTCTGTGGTTAATCGCG